CGTCGAATCTGAATCACTTGAAAAAAACACGGGGGTGCTTAACTTTTTTCCAGGTGTATATATCCTATCTAAGTTAACATTTACATCAAATCCAACATTCAAATATAATCAGGAAGTTTTAACTCAGTGTAGGAAATTAGCGAAACTTTTTGCATACAAGGTATAATAGCTACCATTGTGAAGAATAAGAATGGTATCTATGACAACATAAAGACAGTTTCTATTACATAAAAAGTATTTACAAAATATAAAGAGAATTCATCCAGTCAGTCTTATATCACAATGATATATATATGTAGGCACACAAATCATGATTTTACTGTCCTATAAAAATTTCAAAAGTCATCAAATGTGTGATTTTGTGCTCCTGTATTACGAGTTTGTTTTTTCGTTTTCCTGTAGGAAAACTTTAAGGTTCACTGATGTTTTTATTGTGTAATGACCGTATTAATAATGAAAAAGACTACAAAACAAATACTTGAGTATACAAAATTTATCTGATTAGTCATTTTATTAAATGATGCATCAACGAGTTATGGCTACCAAAATTACAGTAATGCTTAAAGTTATGTTTTGTTTGAAAATATGTATTGTACATATTACTGTAGATTTAAGTAGACAGATACACGAAGATAGCATTCAAACAAGGGCCTGTTTGGTCCTTCAAGGCTGCTGTTCCCGTATATCCACCTTTAGGCAAAGTAAAATTTTAAATCCACACTTTATTTTTTTAAGGAAATCGTCTATTTCCCTATTAAATTTATGCTGCTTTAAACATGTTCTTAATAATATGGCATTTAAGCTATGGATCTTGCTCTGCATTTCAATTCCGCATCTAGTCCAGAGGCCACTCTCAAAAGAGCCATACGTCTACTTCTATCACTGGATCTGTGAAGACGTTGTTTATACCTGTTCAACAGTTCTTCTGGTTTACAGTTTTCAACATAATTCACTTCTACATGCACTACAAAAAAGAATGATTATCGTTACCAGAAAATAAACTATTAACAGGCACAACAAAGTCTATAATATCCAGTGCCTTATAACTTGACAAGTAAATTCTAGTCCTAGTCTTTCTGTGGTCCTCAAAACAAATAAATTTGTCAGTTCTCACAATGATAATGTTTCCCACTATGTAAACCTCTTAATCAGCTTGTTACCTGGACGGACGGACGGACAGATCTTGTCAATGAATGAAACTCAAATTAAAATGCCAGTACGAACTCAAATGTATACATGAACACACACATATACATACGTACTGATATACATATTATACACGCAAATACTTTATATATATATATATGGCAAACTGTGGTGTCTGTCCCCGTTTAAATAGATGCGCACACAGGTAAAGCTCAACATTCACTTTTGAAATGACAGAAGAATAGGCATGAATAATGTTGATGCCAAATTTTATTTTGCAAGCAGGATATTCTACATTAAATTGTTAGGAATTAATCACACTATCATTCACATTTGAAACTGTGATGTAACTAAAGGAACAAAAATGTCGAATTACCGTATGTTATTGTTAATCGGTTCTTAACATGACTGAAATGCTCAACAATTACTTTTCGCGGTATGTGGTATTAGTAGCTCTGAGTGAAACCAAGAGTACAACACAATTAACGTTTTCAAGTCCATGAAATAATTTAAATTGATAAATAAACTTAAACTTTCTCCGTCACTGGGGACGGGTACTTTTGCTTGTATATCTATAATGAACATATATTTTTGTTAAATTTAAATTTTTAATTTCCTTCAAGCCAACAAATCAGTACATAGTTGACCAATAAGCTAGTAAAAATAATTCAGAAAGTACCAATTAAGTTTACAGCGTCAATAATGAAACACCAGCTGTGAAAAACTTTCTAATTAATAAGTATGCTGGCCTGATAATTCACTAAGCTTTGTGTAGCATCGTACATTCTGCAACAAGAAAAGTTTTTACATATAATATCTGACGAGTATATATTAGGTCATCAAGAAATTAATGTCGCGTTTTAGAACACTTTCACGTATAATAGATAAATGAACTGCCTAAACGTCACA